TTTTATTCTTAAAGAATCACAATTACTTACCAATAAGATGTGCATGTTTGTTGGACGCTGCACAGCTTCTCAAATCTCAGAGTCAGACTGGACATCCACACATCACTTTTGGTTCTCCATTGGTTTTCTCATGATACTTGCTTTTGTGTGTGTGTGTGTGTCTGTGTGTGTGTGTGTGAGGAAGATTGGCCCTGAGCTAACATTTGTTGCCAATCTTCCTCTTTTTGCTTGAGGAAGATTGTTGCTGAGCTAACATCTGTGCCAGTCTTCCTCTATTTTATGTGGGATGCCACCACAGTGTGGCTTGACAAGCAGTGCTAGGTTTGCGCCAAGAACCCGAACCTAGGAACTCCAGGCCACCAAAGTGGAGTCCACAAACTTAACTACTATGCCACCATGCTGGTCCTGATACTTGCTTTTTTAATTTTTTTTTTGAGGAAGATTAGCCCTGTGCTAATATCCGTGCCCATCTTCCTCTATTTTGGGACGCCTGCCACAGCATGGCTTGATAAGCAGTGCATAGGTCCATGCCTGGGATCCGAACCAGAGAACCCTGGCTGCCGAATTGGAGTGTGCAAGCGTAACTGCTACACCACCAGGCTGGCCCTTGATACTCGCTTTTTAATCTCAGAAGTCTCCCAAAACTCAGCTTCACAAAGATATGAGGTCATCAAAAGGAACGGAGCTCGATGTCCTGTGCAAACAGTGAACTACCTCGAGCTAGAAGTTCATAAGATGTCTGACAAACGTCGAGGATTGCTGCAATTCCCTCGAATATTCACAATATCCCTAAATATTCCCATATGAGTTTACTGTGGTGAACACAGTTGGAGGAAATAAGGTGTTAACCAACAATAGTCAGAATACTGAAGGTACCAATCATTTTCCTAAAAGTAAGAATGTATTCAAAGTTATTTTTGTCACACCACTCACTCATTGACTTTCTGATACTGTTTTCCGTAGTTGGAAGGAAGCAATGGATATAACAGGTAGGGATGCAGGAACTGTACCTAACTAACAACCTAGTCAATCGGGGCCCTGCACCTGACAATGAGTGTTGCCGATGCATCATTAATAGGTTTGGTAATTATGACTCAAGGCAATGGTTTTGGTTACAGGCATGCAATGCAGAGAACATTTTGAGAATCGCTGGTATAGGGTACTGCTCATGTAGCACAATGAAACCAATAATGACACAATTGACTGTCATCTCTTATAGGGGTCTTATCGACGTGCTGTTTGTGTGTGTGCACACGAAGGTTCCCATGCATCCTGCCAACACCTAAGAGATGGTGCTACTAAACTCATAGCGGTTCCACAAGCACTTAGCATGACCGTGGTAGCGTTTATGGCGGCTCAAGATCACATTATTATGGACTCTTTATGTATCTTAGTCCTCTTTATGTCCCCCAGAGTACTGAACTTTATACTCCTCAACCCGTTACACCCCCAGAGCATTTAATACAGAGCTTGAGCAATAGCAAGAACTCAATAAATATCAATTACTAGTGGTTCTTAACCTAGGCTGAACATTAAGATCACTTGGAGAGCCTTTTATTTTATTTTATTTTATTTATTTATTTTTTTTTAAAGATTTTATTTTTTCCTTTTTCTCCCCAAAGCCCCCCGGTACATAGTTGTGCATTCTTCGTTGTGGGTTCTTCTAGTTGTGGCATGTGGGACGCTGCCTCAGCGTGGTTTGATGAGCAGTGCCATGTCCGCGCCCAGGATTCGAACCAACGAAACACTGGGCCGCCTACAGCGGAGCGCGCAAACTTAACCACTCGGCCACGGGGCCAGCCCCATTGGAGAGCCTTTTAAAAATACCAGTTATCAAAGACTCAGCTCAAACCAACTGAATCAGAATATCTGCAGGTGGGGCCTGGTACAGCCAGGGTTGAGAAACACTGAGCTACACGTCGCCCTGGACCTGTAGTCACACCAAACGCATGCATGTCAAATCTATCTGACTGGGCTTCTGAGGATGCGCGTGTGTGCACACGTGCGTGTTTTTATGGGACACTTTTCCAAGGCAAGACAATGACAAATATATAAAGCAGTGCTTTTTTTTTCTTTTTCTTGGATGCATAAGGCAAACTTGCTCCAATGTAGCTAAATCTCTCTCTTATTCAAAGTAAAACTTTTGGTCTAGAAACCATGACTTTGTTTACGGCATCGTAAGGGGTCTTTCCTGAAATGGTTTACGTCACATACATTGTTTAAAATGAAATATTCAGCTGTGAATTTAGAATTTGAAAAACTAAGATGAGAACTCATTGTTTTAATAACTTTGATATAATAACTGGATGGAATGAGTTTAATGATGAAACATGATGACTTGAAGAATAAAAATGCAAAATTAAAAACACAATAGAATATCACTACACACCCATTAGAGTGGCCAAAAATAAAAAAGACTGAAAATACCAAATGGTGATTTGGGTGTGGAACTGGAATTCTCATACAGTGCTGGTGGGAGACACAAAAGTGTATACAGTGTACGGTCCATTTAATGAGAAAGTCTGGAAGGGGTGACACTAATCTTGGGTGAATAGAAATCAATTGGAGTGAGAGGGATGGACTGTAAAGAGGCAGGAAGGAACTTTCTGGGGTGATGAAAGCTGTATTTTGGTTACACAGGTGTATACATTTGCCAAAAATCAGCAATCTAGGGGCCAGCCTGGTGGCGTAGTGGTTAAGTTCAGGCGCTCTCTGCTTCAGCGGCCTGGGGCTCGCAGGCTTGGATCCCAGGTATGAACCTACACACGACTCATCAGCCATGCTGTGATGACGTCCCACATACAAAACAGAGGAAGACTGGCATAGATATTAGCTCAGGGACAATCTTCCTCCCCAAAAAAGAAAAAATCATCCATCTGTACAATTAATATTTATACATTTTACTGTATATAATCATACCTCAACATAGGACTGTTAAAAAAGGAAATATTACATAAATCAGTTCATAAGTATTTTATAAAGTAAAAAAGTAATAATCGCCATGATTTTAAAATTGGGGAAACCCAATAAGTATATCTTCTCTTTCAGTATAATAATATTAATTGGGCTTTACCTCATTCAATACTCACAACAACTATTTGCGTTAAGTATATTTAAGCATACTCTAGCTATGAGGAGGCTAAGACTTGGAGAATGTTCCAGATGGCCACGAATTGGCTTACAAAAAGTAAGACAGAGAATCCCTGATTCAGCGGCCATGGTATGCAGTAGCAGGGGTGGACAGTAAATATAATCCCTAAGGAAGAATCTGAACACGCTATAAAAATCCAGGATATCTTTCTGCGTGGGTCCGCTGCCCAGGCCGGGTGTGAGGTATTGCTGGAGGGCTGTAGGTTTCTCTATGGCTTTTGGATTTGGGGAGGGCTTAAGTCACCATGGTCTTGGCCTCCCCAGGTCATATTACCAAAGGCTTAAGCCTTAGAGCTGATTCCAAGTTCACAGGAAAGTCTAAGTGCTCCTGCAGAAGGAACAGCTGCTCCATTTCTTCTGAATCTACCTGTTCCAATCAGCACACAACACTCAGGCTCTGAAAGCAGAGGCTTACAAGAGGTGCCAAGCACACAGAAGGAACAAGCAGTGTAGTCTACAACCTGCCACCGTTTTTTCACCTCCCTATTTCTCAAGGAAGGAGAATTTCATGGCCCAGGTGTCAGTCTTCCTGGGGTGGCTACATGATGGGATGCAACACTGGTTAGGGCTCCTTAGATTATGGGGATAGAAACTTCATGTAAACTGGCAAACTAAAATTGAAAACCAACGTACTGACTTGTGTAACTAAGAAATCCACTGGAGTCTAACTTCAGGCATGGCTGCATCGAGGGTCAGGAATCCTTCTTCCTTCACTTCTCAGCTCTGTTTCCTGTGTATTGACTTCATTTTCAGGCAGGCTCCCCCTATCCTATGGCTGAGAAGGCACTTAGGAGCCCTGGGATTATATTCTAGTCTTAAGAGTTTGAACAAAAGTCCTGGGGCTTACATTCATTGAGCCAGCTGGAGTCAGAAGCATTTATTACTCCCACCTTTTACCAGGCATTTATTACTCTTTCTCAATTCCTCTATTGAAAATATGGAGGTTATAACCAGGCTCAGTACCTCCAACTTGCTATCACCTGGAAGAGTCAGCTTGGCAACTATATCTTTATTTTTCTTCTTTCTTTCTATATACTCCTTCCTGCAATAAAGCTACAAAGCCACTTTGTGGTGATGGGAATTCTTTTTCCATTATTTTCAGATTCTCCAAATTATTAAAACAATAAAAATAGCAAGCATTGAGTTGTAAAGTAAATAATTCTAACAGAACTTCCAAAGAAATACGTAGAAAGATTTGATTCAGTGCCTCCTTCACTAATCCTTGTATACAATTGCCATAATTTGCATTTTATACTCAGATTTCCATCAAAATATTTTGTTTCTTTTAAAACAGAGATTCATTGTTATGCATCCTTATATCATAGTTCATTGATTCTAAGGTGCCATTAAATAGGAGATGCATTCCAACTTCACAGATGTTAAATGTTAAAAAAAAGAAATGTCAGGGCTGGCCCGGCGGCACAGCCGTAGAGCTCATGCGCTCCGCTTCGGCAGCCTGGGGTCGGATCCCGGGCATGGACCTAGCACCATTTATCAAGCCATGCTGTGGCAGGCATCCCACATATAAAATAGAGGAAGATAGGCAGAGATGTTAGCTCAAGGCCAACCTTCCTCAGCAAAAAGAGGAGGATTGGCAGCGGATGTTAGCTCAGGGCTAATCTTCCTCAGAAAACAACAGCAACAATGACAAAAAAAAGAAAGAAAATGTCTTAGAAACAATGATATGCTGGATTTACAGAATCCAGTGGAGTCTTTTTTTTTTTTTTTAAGATTTTATTTTTTTCCTTTTTCTCCCCAAAGCCCCCCGGTACATAGTTGTATATTCTTCGTTGTGGGTCCTTCTAGTTGTGGCATGTGGGACGCTGCCTCAGCGTGGTTTGATGAGCAGTGCCATGTCCGCACCCAGGATTCGAACCAATGAAACACTGGGCTGCCTGCAGCAGAACTTGCGAACTTAACCCACTCAGCCCCAGGGCCAGCCCCTACAGTGGAGTCTTAATGCATGGGAGACATTCAACAAATAAGTCTGGGGAAGGAAGGAAGGAAGGAAGGAAAGAAAGAAAGGAAGGAAGGAAGAGAGGAAAGATCCAAGGAAGAAGGGAAGGAGAGATTTGTGGAGGAGGAGGGGGAGGAAGGAAAGCAAGAAAAAGGGGAGAAAAGAGTAATTACATATCCTTCCCAAAGCATTGCATAATTCTGAGGCTTCCTTGGTGGGAAATTATTCCAATCTTCCTTTTTATGGATGGAAACTTTGTTTATTACATCAATAGTAACTTGACGCTTCCAAGGTAATAAACAGGAAGCCACCGAGGGACTTTGTAATCTTTGTAATCACAGGCCTCTGAGCTCTGCAGACTTTTCTTCCATGCAGAAGGGAGGGCAACACCCGTAGCTGCCTTCGGACCTCAGTGCAGGTGCTTCACCTTGCTGGCTCCTTTATATCCTTCAGATCTCACTGTAAGCGTCACTTCCTCCGAGAAGCATTCCTGGACTACCCAAGCTAAAGTGGGTCTCCTGTTGTTAGTTCCTCTTACAGCATCTTATCCTTTGTTCTCTTCAGACTGTCTACCCACCCCCACAAGGTGCGCATTAAGTAGGCTTCATGCGTCACTCGTTTCTAAAAGCGTGTATACTTTGACAGACATATCAAAGGTCAAGAAACATTTAGGAACCAAAGGAATGCAAGCCTACGTATTAATTACAAGATTCGGACTGAAAAACAAACAGGGCGACATGCTGTAACACTTATTAACCTTTAAACTACAACTACAAATTTATGGTTAATCCGTGACGGTAAATGAGAACAAAACTGTGTGCCGAGGGCGAGAGTGCGATTCAAGGACGGACGTGACCGCCTTCCGTGTTTCTGGAGCTGGACTGCTGACTAGCTCTTATGCAGATTTAGTGTGATTTATGTAAGCTAACAGGCAAGCTTGTGATTTTAGACCATCTTCCTGCGTTTGGACGCGTTACATTTAAACCAGGCCAGAGAGATGAGCTCAATTCCACTTCACAATTTCATTCGAGAAGGCTATTTGAAAGCCGACTCTGCAAGGTTAGGAACCCTTTCTTACAGTTAATCTAGGCTGTATGTTTTGTAAGGTTTTCATGGTTCGCTTTAGGACCCTTTATCACTGTCTTTACTGGTGAAGAACAGCAAGCCTGTTAGTACATGAGCATCACTCTCTCTTTGCTGTCTTTGGATGTGATACCTGGAAAACTTCCACGCGGCTTGTTACCGTTGGCAACTCCACTCCCCACCTGAGCCTCACCATCTTTTCCTTTGCATCACATCACACTGGATCATCCCAGGTAGAACCCCAGGGGCAAAATACTGATGAAACCCCATCCTGAAGCCGTACTGGGCCCAGAATTGGTTCGTGAGCTGCTGCCTCATCACAGGTGTGAAAATCTCTTAATACAGCAGCTGATTATCTCAAGACACGTTAAGAAACAGATGGGGGTATTGGTTTTGCTTTTTGTATAGTTCACACATCACTCGAAAGAATCAAGAAGCAGGGAAATACACAGAATATCCATAAAAGGAATTAAAATATTAGATTCTGAAAGTGATAAAAGTAGATTCTAACCTTCAGGGGCTAAACAATCAACCGCAAAGATTCAGATGATATGATTGTTCTGACAATACAATCTCTGTATGTATTTAGATGTCAAAACAGTATAATTGCCTATGATATCACGAGCCGGGCATCAGTAATAAAGGTTTGGTTATGCAGTAACTACAGAAATGCATTTCAAAAGTTTTATACAGGAAATGAAAACAAATTAATCATCGACATGACATGATTAAGTTTTGTGTTTTTTTTTCCAGTCGTCTCTAATTTACATTGTGATATTTCTACAAACCACCAGCTGTAAAATGGTAAAACATACCTAACTACTTAGATAGAAGTTACAGGATGTACAACTGATGAAGTATGAATTTTGCTTAATTTAGAACATGAGGGGCTGGCTGGATGGAGTAGTGGTTAAATTCTCGTGTGCCACTTTGGCGGCTTGGGGTTCACAGGTTTGGATTCTGGGCACTGACCTATGCACTGCTGGTGAAGCCACGCTGTGACCGGCGTCCCACATATAAAATAGAGGAAGATGGGCACAGATGTTAGCTCAAGGCCAATCTTCCTCAGCAAAAAGAGGAGGATTGGCAGCAGATGTTAGTTCTGGGCTAACTTTCCTCAAAAAAAGAACATGAAAAAGTAATATTTTATTTACTCGTCTTCAGGAAAAGGTAATTATTTCCATCTTTCAATCTGAGCAAGTAAAGGACAAATAAAAACAGAACAGAATTTTAAATAGTTCCCTCCTTTGTTGCCCAAACTATACATTACCTGTGTGTATACTTATATACTTTTAAATAATTTTTAAGTTATTTACATATAAATAATTTAAAAAATAATTTATATTTTAAAATGATAATAAAAAATTACATATTTATATAAGTAATTTAAAAGTTCTTCAGATTAAATAAACCTATTCCTTATAGAGGGATAAATAACAGGGATGGGCCAATTAGGACTGTTTGCAGTTTCCACAGGTGACCTTCTACTGTTTGTCTTCTCCCACTCTTTGCAAGAACAGATTATCCCATAAGCCTATAGATAAATACCGGCTTGCCTTCTCCCGTAGTTGAATGGTTTATGAATTCAAACATTCTTGCCCTGACTTTTAAGGATGGGCACTTCATCAAGTTTTTAAGCACGTCTCTGATTTTGGCCCCCCAATTCTCAAGCTTCGAAAATGACACAGTTTTATTCTGGGAAATGTTGTTGCAGGTGCTCCTTATTCTACATAATGCTAACTTTTGCATGGAACTCACCAACGGTGAATTCAATGGCAGAATTATGAAGGACGTTGGGGCTGTCAATGATTAACCAGGCTTATTGTCATAAAGACAATAAGAGCCTGCGCTCAGTGTTCTTTTGAGTTGGATGTGGCATGACTCCAAATCTGGTTTTACTCACATCCGGTGTTTCTAAGTCTAAACAGATTGAACATTAACAGTTCAGTGGACCTGCTGAAGAAATAATTATCGAGGTATTTTAAAATGCACTTCCGCCATTAAATAGAACAGCTGAAAAAGAAGATCGAAGAGATGTATGTTTTAAGCAATAAAAGCTTACGTATGAGCAAAGAGGGTTAGAAAGATGCAAAGTGTACTGAATGCAACTTTTCACCTCTTGTATTGACTATCTTAGGGATGTACTGTCGGATCAGTAGCCTATGAGTGGTCTCTTGATTTAACTATGTGGAAATACTAAAAATAAACAGAAATACTGATGAAGTATTAATTTTGCTTAATTTAGAACATGAGCGAGTGGCTGGGTAGGGAAAATTCCATTTTCTTTCCCGTGTAGGAAATAGTTGCTTCTACTGCTCAGACCTCAGTGGATTTGGAGCATTCCAAGACTGAAGTGAGGAGCACAGAAGAGGACTGTTTGGGTCAGAAGTGGTAGAGGGCGACAGAAACTAAGCAGGACCCTTTAAGATCTTCCCATTTAGCTTTGTGAAATCCCAGGATATTTGTAACATCCCTTTTCCAGGGTAGATGGGTGCACACAAAATATTCCAGAGAAACCAGCACTTTTTTGAATGCTCTTTGGGACTTGATTATCACTAGCTGTTTGTTGGCATGGATAATTGAGAGGTGCTTGTGAGAACTCAGTGAAAATGCCACCATTGTTCGGGAGAGCGTATCCTGTGGAAGCGCCTTATGGTTTGGCTCCACATCAAGGATGGGATGTACAAGTGTGAAAAGGGAAATAATTTTTTAATATACTTCCTTCATTGCTTTGACTTATTGCCCATTGCATATTGGCCCTCTGGCTTTTATACTAAGAGACAAAAACCATAAATTCAGTTGGATTCTGTTGACCAAAGGAGATCATGTTATAAACATGAATTGCTGGTTGTACTCTTTCCTTCTTAGAAATCAATACAAAGTATTACATTTCCTTACATTAAAAAACATATACAGTGTAGTGAGATGTTCCCTCAGCCCTATAACTACTACAGAAATAGCCGGAAAAAAGCCACAGTCAGTTTGCCACTATTTTTAACAGTGAACTGTATTCTCAAAATACCCTAACGAGATAATTGGGACATGGTGGAGTTTTCTTTCTGTGATTAAATTAAGACTGACTTTATTGTTTTAATGGGAAGTTCATCTGTACCATCCATTAACAATTAAATGCAGGGGGCCATTAAAGTGAAAAAGTGGCTTTCTAATATTTTTCATGTGTGTCTTCAAAGCAAGATGAAGATTTATTTTTCTGACACTGTACAGAGACCACAGCCAGGGCCAGAGAAAAGTGATCTCCCCTGGGTTGTCTGCAGTCTGCACTTTGACTTCCTTCTCCTGGCCCAGTTGAGTCCAGACATTTCAACAGCTTGACTAAGCCTCATCACCATTTAGCTGCCAAAGTCAGCGGCTGCCAATATCACCAGTAGCTTTTTCAGCACACCTGTTGCCAGCACTGTGTTTGAGTCAAGAGCCCTTTCTGGTCTATCCCAGTGGCTAGGATCTTTTTCAAAGGAGAATTATTTTTAATATTACTTCATCATCCTTCATCATCAGGAAAACATTCTCCTAGCAAGCTTTTCTCAAACTTTACAGAGAAGCTGCACTTATGCTGAACCTGGTATGTCACATCTGGTCTGGGTTAGCCTATGGATAAAAAATGGCTTTGATCATCAATACTACCTCTGATTTTTATTTTTAATTGTGTGGGGCCAGAAAGCTATATGAATAAAAAAACATCAAGACTTGGTGTAAACCAAGGTTTTCAGTGTAATAATCAAATACCATTGGCAGCAAAGTTAATCTGATAGTTAATGGTATGTATTGCACGGTAATTAGGTATAAATACTGAGTAGCTCACATAAAGAGCTGTAATTCACCCGTTTTGGGAAGCCAAACAAGCACTTTTGGAGCAAGCTTGGGGTAGGGATGAATAGAAAAGTAGTTAACACGGACTCTGTTCTGACGATCCCCGGGACCAGAAGAGCCCTTTGGCCAGAACTTTCTGCTTGTCCATTAGCCATTTGCTCCAGGCGAGGGGCCCATGGGGCATAGCTTTCTGCATCTGATGCTGAAAGCTATGCCATCAGTATTTCAAATACCAGCAGGGTCACCCATGGTGGGCAGGTTTCAGAGGATCTTCCAGACCAAGACAGACAAGGAAGAAGGAACCGGCCACCCATTTCTGAAAAAAATTGGCCATGAAACTCCTGTAAATGGCAGCACAGCATTGTCTGATAGAGCGCCGTAAGGGGAGAGGACGGTGCAGAAAGACTGCGTAGGGTTCCGCTCTGCTGTGCACAGGGTCACTAGGAGCTGGAATCCACTCAATGGCACTAACAAGGGGCCAGCAGCTGGGGTCCACCCTCCCTATCTACCACCTTGGTGATGGAAAGTCACAAAGACAAAGTGCAGTGGATTCAGTTCTGACTGTCTTCACAACCTGGCGAACACTATACTACTATTTCGCTGTTGCTTGGTAGGCCTTCAAGATGAAGAAACGGGACACAGACAGACGATTTGAACACTTTGGGTACCACCTAGCCACTGATAGGATACTTCCTAGAGAAAGTCTTTGCGCCCACTAGGGCTTCACAAATTTGTTTTGACCCATTGCCTATTAGTGTTCATAAGGTATGTAAGTTTTCCTTATTCCAGTGAAATCTCTTGTCTGTAGATGAATCTGAAGTTTACTTAAACTAGGCTGTTTATCGATTATCTATGTATCTATCTATCTACATTTTCTAAAAGGCAGTGCGAAAGATAGTGAAAAAAACCCAAAACTCTTAACCATGCCTCCTGTGTTGGTTTGAAATGTCCTTACCCTGGGAACCTCTGGTTATTTTTCCTGCAAGGCGTGCCTGTGTATGACTCAGGTGACACTGTTCTCATTTGACTGACTGACTTTTATTTGGGGTGACCTGACAATAATCTGGTTCAAACGGCAGCGTCATTGGCTTCACTCTTGCCTCCTTTCTTATCCTACATCCAAACCACTGGTAAATCTTGTTGGTTCTGTTTTAAAAAACAAATCTGGAATCTGATGATTCTTAGCACCTCCACTGTTAGGACTAAATCAACAATATTTTTGCCTGGCCATTACGATAGTCTCTTAATTCTTCTAGTTGTTCCTAGCCTGCAGTCTATTCCCCACAGCACAGCTGTTCTCTCCCAACCAAATCTGACTGGGTCACTCCTCCAGTGGCTTTCCATTTCATTCAGAATTAATTCTAAACATTACAAGCTTCTACATTTGTCCCCTTCCCGTACCCCACCCCCCTTCTGATCTCATCTGCTACCGCTCTCCGTTTGCTCACTGGATCTTAGCTACCCTGGCCTCCTGGCTATTTCTCAAACATGCCAAGCCCACTTCCACTCAGGGTGTTTGCATTTGTTGTTGGGTTAAGTGCTCCACTCTGCTCCTGGATAGACACGTGGCTCATTTCCTTCAGGTCTCTGCTCAAATGTGAGAGGCCTTCCCAGAAAAACATATTTCAAATAGCATCCTCCCTTCCCATGACTCCTTACCCTGCTTTATTTTTGTATGAATCACCCTCTGACATAGTATGTATTTATTGGCTTATTATTACTATTTTTGCCTTTTCTACTGCAATGTAAGCTCCATGAAAGCAGAGACTTTGCATCTTGGTGACCTATTGTTTCCTCATGCCTTAGAACAATGCCTCGCACATTTATTATTACTTCTTGGGCTACTGAAATCAACATTTCCTTTAGAGATCTTGAATTAGTTTTTCTCTAAAAGTAAACTTTCCGAATCTTAATTCCATAGCTTTATCATTTTAAGTATTTGAGCTATAATCTACCTATTCTTGGACTGAATAAATCCCTTTGGTAGGGAAGTGAACTAGCGAAGACCTAGGAGTAATAACTATTTAATGAGTCCTTCATACGTGTCAGGCTCTAGTGCTTAAGAACTTTGCTTTATCTCATTTAATTGTAACCGTCCTGGAGATGGGCATTATTACTATTCTCCTTTTACAGACAAAGAGATTCATACCTGAAAGAAGTGGAAATAACTTGACGCCAGGTCACAGAGTTAACCTTCACTGGGCTGAGACTGGAATCAAGGCGTGGTTGACCCCTCACAGCCTCCTAGTTATGCGTGTCCAGTTACTGGAAGCAGTGAAGCCGAAGGATTCAAAGTATTCCTGTTGCAGTTCCGTGTACTAGGGTTCTGGGATATGGATATATTTATACATATTTTGGATACATAATATATATATCCCACCCCCGCCCAAGATTCCTGGTACCAAACCAGGTAGTTCACCTTTCGGAAATGTCCTAAAAGCCACTGTCCCCTATGCTGGACCTCTCACTTTAACGCAAGGTTCGCTTTAAGTTAAAGCGAACTAGTTTCGAACAAGGTCCGCTAAGTAGTTAAACTACTTAGCAAAAGAGGATGGGATCAAAACGCCGTGTTCCAAAAGAAAGGGGAGGTCTCCGATTGGGCTTACCGCTTGCAAGTGGGGGCGTTTAACTATAAAGTTCTCAAAAAGCTGCCGACCCCCAGCTCGGAGGGGAGCTGGCCTGCAGGAGGGGAAGACGGCGAAGGGGGCAGAGCGGAGCGCCACGCACCACGCGAGGGCTGACGATGGAAAGACATCGGCCTGGAGGGGCTCGTCGAGAGCTGCCTTCGGCTGCAGCGGGGAAGCGGCGAGGCCCGCTCCGCTCCCCAGGGCGCCGCGCGGGGCGCGAGGGGCCGGGTGCACGGCGCGCAGGGAGGACGCAGCGCGCGGAGAGGGCCAGGCACCGGGCGCGCGGGGAGGATCGGGCGTGCGGGGGGGGCCGGGCGCACGGGGATGGCCGGGCACCGGGCGCAAGGAGAGGATCGGGAGCGCGGGGAGGATGGAGCGCGCGGGGCGCACGGGGGAGGATCGGGCGCGCGGGGACGGCCTGGCGCGCGCGGGGAGGATCGGGCGCGTGGGGAGGATGGAGCGCGCGGGGAGGGCCGGGCGCGGGGCGCACGGGGGAGGATCGGGCGCGCGGGGAGGGGCCTGCGCCCGCCCCGCCCCTCTCCTCGGGGATGCCGGGATGTTTACACTGCGGACGGCGGCGGCCGCGGGAGGATGGGCCGCCGCTAGGCTCGCAGTCTGGACGCGCCGGGCCGAGCGCAGGGTGGGTGCCCGCGCCTGCAGCGTCCGCGGGGGCGGCGCGGCGGGAGGTGGCAATCGGCTCCGGGCCTCGCGGCCACAGCCCCCGGCCCAGCGGGCCTTTCCGCGGCGCCGCCTGGCCGAGCCGCCCGCCCACCCCGGGTCCTCGCGGGCAGGAGAACGGAAACCTCCCAACTTCTTGGTGAGTGGCGCCGGGGTCCCGGGCGCGGGGACTCGGGCGGGGAGGGGAGGTCGGGACCGCGCGGGCCGGCCTCGGGATCCCCCCGCGCGGGGAGTGGGGCGGGGCGCGCGCGCTCCAGCGGGGTGGGGGTTCCGGTCCTGTCGGGGGGCAGCAGCGGCAGCGGGCGGCGGGACTTTGGCGCCCGGCACGGGCTCTGGGGCCCGAGGCCGCCACGGCGCCGCGGTAGCTAAGAAACTCTGCGGCCACGGCGGCGGCGGCGGCGGCAACAGGTCTTTGGTTTCAGGACCGGAGGAACTTGAGCGAAGTCCCGCCTCCCGGCGATGCTCATTGGCGGCGTCGGTTATTTATCCGTCGCGGATTGGTTAGGTTCTGCTGTCAGGATTCGGCCCCAGCCAGACTGTGGAGAGTGAAGTTCTTTGGGAGAGTGGGTGGTGGGAGCCCGGCAGATAGCGGAGAATCTGAAGTAGCCTGAGAAGTCCGGGGAGCGGGAGCGTCCCGTCGGAGAATGAGCTTTAGTGAGACTGTCAGGGTTAGGAAATGTCAGAGAGAGGGACGAAAGGCAAAGCGAACAACTGGGGGTGATGGCGGCAATGCAAAAGAAATTGAAAATTGAGGCCAAAGTCAGAGAGACGAAGGGGAGCCCAAAAGAAAAAAAGGAGACAAGTGAGAGGACCACGTTGCCCCAGGACAGTGTCAGGAAGCGAGTACAACCTAGAGGATGCTGCAGTGAGATCTAAGGAATTCCTGTGCCTCTTTCCTATATAGGGTAGGCCTTGGGATCTGTGTCAAACAGATGAATCGTGTTCTCCCATGGCTGTAGTCCTTGCTGGGATAAGCACTAAAAATATACTTACCTTACAGTACGATGTGCTTCCATCCTTGAGCAGTTCTGGTGACGAAACTGAAAGTCAGAAACATCACAAAAGTGAAATGATTTTCCTCCTCCTTTTAAGGATGCAGTTGAAAAAGAAGATCAAATGCCCATAGTTTGTAGAGCATGGCGTACTCGTCATAATTAGAACCACTGTTTCTCATTCCTCCTCCAAGGAATGTGCAGTTTCGGGAAGTGTGCACGCTCCCTGCAGGCGACAGCCGTGCGTCTTGTCAGCTTGCAGGGCAGGATGTGTGTGTGATAAATCTTTATGGACAGGAGCTTGAGCTGCTGCGGGTGTGGTCGAAGAATGGCATAGTACTTCTACTCAAAAAGGTGTATGATACTTTTGGGACAACTGGACAAACACTGAAAACGGTGGATAGTTAAACGAGAGATACAATTAACCCTCTAATGCTTTGTGGCAACTCTTGCTGAATGGACTCCGAGTATTCTTGGCTGTAACACTTGGTGAAGGCCAGTGCACTGAAAACGGTTAACTTAAACTTAAGCGGTTATTTCATTTCCAGGGGAAGTACTCCTCGGCTCCCCTCGGGAGACCCAGTGCACAGCTTACCGCGCTCCTAAAACCCGCAGCATCCTCCATTTGGGAGGAATGGGAGCTTGCTGGGGTGAGGGATGAGAGATGTTGGAGCTTTGAAAAACTCTGCCTCTGGGAGGAATCAAAGAGGCAGAAGTACGGGAACAGGGAGAGCAGGGTCGGCGAAATGAAAGCGAAGGATCCCCTGGTGGAGGCTGGTGGCTTGCTCGCGGGGTGGGGAAGCCCGGAGACCCTCTGGGTGGTGCGGGCCTGAGATTGCGCTCTGGGGCGGGAGGCCCCGCCCCCGCAGGACTGACGGGCTCCGCAGCCAATGTGCGGCGAGGACGGCGCGGTTCCCGCTCGGAGGGCGGTACTTCCTCCCGGCCCGGGGCTGGGGAGGGAGCGGGGTTGCTCCCGGGGGATGTCTGCGGGCGGGGCGGAGGGCACCTCGTGGGACCGAGACCTGAAGATACAGGGGGAAGGCTCGGGTCTCCGTCGCCCCCTGGTCCGTGTCTCGGTTCACGGTTCAGCTGCACCTCGGCCTCGCCGCTTGGACGGAAAGTTCATAGTTGATAAGCAACGAAGCCGGTCAGCAAACGAAATGTCCGAGTGACTGTGTGATGGGGCTTTTCCTCTGAAATTGGAAAGCAATAAATTTCAGAATCCAAGTTGTAAAGCATTTTCACCATTACCCGGGAATCTCTCCACGGTGGAGAATCCGTCTGCATTTAAAGCGTAAAGGCGGTCGCTGGATGGTCTGAACCCCTCGTCGGGTTTCCTTATGTCGCTCGTACCTCTCTGGCCCCTCCGTTCCCTTCCCCACTTACACATTTTCCTGGCTGGACACTTGCAAGAGCTCTTTCCCAGCCCAGGAAAACAGCAGTCACTCCAAGAATGAGGAAGCCGCGTCTGGTATGAGGACGGCGTCCCAGGGGAGGGGGCAGAGGGGCGGGTGGTGCAATGGCCAGACCCGAATAATGAAAGTCAGCGCTGTAGTTGCAGATAATCGGGAGTGCACTGATAGTTTGCTTCCGTAAGTGAAAACCTCATAGTCCCCTCCCCTTCGTCTTCCGGGTGGTTGCAATCCACTAGGCTCTGATTTATTGCGAACATTGAAGTATTCTTTTCTTCTCAGCTGTTGTGCATTTACTGAATTGTAGGTTTCTTCATTTTCACTTAAACACGTGGTGGACTGAGACATCATCAGAGACTTAGGGCATTTCTAGAACCTAACACTGTTTTCCTAGGAACTGTCTGATGTTTTAAAATGTATCTCTGTATAGTATTACCAATGTAGCCACCCTTCAGGGCACCTGGAGAGGAGAGAAAGGAGGTTATTTAATGAATGCAGTTTTGGAAAATAAGTTGCTTAATGAGATAGTAAGTTCCAGATTTCCTTTCAGGTTTTGTTTCCTTTTTAAATAGTCTTTGGTATTTAAAAAATGTGCAGTGTAGCTGCAGCTGCGCAAAGCAGCACGTTCAAATTAAAATATTTGTCCCTTCAGATATTTGCTCGAGTTATGTGGATAGGTATTTTAGTAAATTATATGTAAAATATGGTAGCAAACTCAGTATAAGACTTGAGAGTGTTTTGGAAATGACCTGTGTGATGCCCGTTGGCTCTGAATTGCTTTATCAGCAGTGACTTTATGAGCATGTCTATAAATACATAGCAAGATGTTTTAAGAAGTGTTTCTTCACATTTTTGCATGTTTCAATTCAATCTCTCCTCTTCTCATTTTTGTAGGGGATATAGGTGAGTAACATTTGGTTGTATCATTATAATTATATCTGTTTGCAGGATATATTGGCGGTTCGGAATTTTTCAACTTATTCATAAAAATAATATAGAACTGTTCACTTTTAGAGTTACAAAACTCAGAAAGTGCCGATTCCTCTTTCGGTGATTGATATTTTGATTATCCCTTTGTGGTATATGTCTTTACAGAATATTTTTTTGTTCTAAGGAAAACTCTTAGAGAATATTTTTCATGGTTTTTGGTGGGTGGTGGGAATGAGGACAGACAGTCATGAAGCATTCCTTAGTTTTTTAAGCAGGATGACTTCTTTTCCTAACCTTTGTCAAAGTAACAGCTCTGTCATACTATTTACGTAATGAACTTATACAATTTGAGCTATTTTATAATCGCTATCTGGAGTGTTAATCAGAACAGAATATAAGTGAATGGAACTTATTTAATTGGTCTATAAAAATGTAGGAATATGTTTTCTGTTACTTAATGGGAATAGATCTTTCTGTAAATCTGGCCATTGGTCTTCTGCTGATCATCAGTGTAAATAAGTAAGGGGCAACTTTTCCGTTCCAGGTGGCTTTTGTGTAGAACAGGGGTCTGGAAACTTTTTCTCTAAAGGGCCAGATAGTAAATATTTCTGGCTTTGTGAGCCATATGGTCTCTGCCATAGCTGCTGCCATTGTAGCCATGGTCAATACCTGAACAGGTGGGTGTGGCTGCGTTCCAGTAAAACTTCACTTATACAAACAGGCTGGAGGCCCACCCCTGCCCTGAAAGGTAACACCAAAGGGCTAAATAGGATTCTAGGCCATTGATGTTTGGGTTGACATGGATTTTCCACAGCAGTGTTTTATATGTAACTTTTTGGTCCTTTGACCTCTGTGGCAATCTTTTGACCTTTTTTCAGTCCCTTCAGAATAATGCCCAATTATTCGTTATCAGATTTTGTGTTTCATTTCAGAGACTTCATAAACATATGAACCACTTTTAAGTTTATCCACTTTTTCATGGTTTTCCACCTTTCTTTGCCTCGGGTTTGGGGGAGGATCCTCCACCCATTCTGTGATGTTGAATGATTGTGCACCTCTCTCCAGATTCCTTGTTCTTACTAAAGTGAGATGGAATCTGATTTCAGAGGTTTATCTTTGCTTTTTTGACTAATAGCACTTTAATGTGAATGTGTTTTGGTGTTTCTTTAACTAGGATTTTTCATGTTAAGCCTACTGGAGTGACTGCCTTTGTTGCTTTTAGAGAGAATTTCTGGCATCTGGGGGGGGAGTTGATTTTTTTCTTAAGAAAACTTGACTTATTCTTTTTTTTGCTTTGGTTTTTTTGGTGACTGAACCAGCTTTTGTGGTTCTTTTTTTAAATGAAATATAATTCCTATAACACTATGTTAGTCTCAGGTGTACAGTGTAATATTAGATATTTGTATATACTGCAAAATGATCACCACAGTAAGTCCTGTTAACATTTATCACCATATATAGTTACAAAATTTTTTTCTCACGATGAGCATTTTCAATATCCTTTCTCCTAACTGCTTTCAAATGCACAATATAGTTTTATTAACTATAGTCCCCACTATGCTGTACATTGCCTCCACATGCCTTGTTCATTTTATAATTGGAAATTTGTATCTTTTGATTCTATACAACCATTTTGCCCACTCCCCACCCCCCACCTCAGGCAGCTACCAATCTGTCCTCTATTTCCATAAACTCAATTTTGTTTTTTTTTTTTAGATTCCACGTATAAGTGAGATCATATGGTATTTATCTTTTTCTGTCTGACTTATAATGCCCTCAGAATCTATCCACGTTTTAGCAAATGGCAAGATTTCATTCTTTTTTATGGCTGAATAATTCTCATCGTGTGTGTGTATGTGTGTGTGTATGCCATATAGAAGATAGAAGAAGAAGATATATATACACCATATCTTCTTTAACTTTGTCCATCCGTGGACAATTAGGTTGCTTCCATGTCTTGGCTATTGTAAATAATGTTGCAGTAAACATAGAGGTACATATATCTTTTCGAATTAGTGTTTTTGTTTTCTTCAAATAAATACCCAGGAGTGGAATAGCTGGATCATATGGTAGTTCTCTTTTACATTTGTGGAGGAATCTCCATATTGTTTTCCATAGTGGTTACACCAATTTACATTCTTACTACAGTGTACGAGTATTCTCTTTTCCCA